ATACAAGAGAATTTGCGGAAATTTTTTTATCACGAACAGCTGTAATTTCGATGAACATCTTAAGGTACACATTCGGAAAAATATCCAGAATCCAGTGACCTTTTAACCTTTAAAAGGGATGAAGATAATTACTTGTGCAAATTGCTAACGTTCCACCTCGGTGGGATGAGCAAAATAACAGGAGAATCCCATAAGATTTTTAGTAAAAGATTTAATTAATTGTTCCTAACTGATCAACAGACGGAAAATATCAAGGTGAGCACGATCATCATCATTCTACGCATGTTTCAGTTGCATTCCATTCAAGCTGCCTACGTTTCCTCATCTTTGTCGCGTTAATTACCAATACAACCGTTTTTCTCTTTCATATTTTTATATGTAATATTTAAACAAAACTTGAATATTGTCAAAATATCATGTTACAAATATTCTGTCCACACCCAGATATTATTATTATTATTATATCGTGATTTCTGCTATGGTCACATGACCTGCCAAGTCTGCGGGAAGACCTAAGGCAGGTAGTAGCGTGTTGTTATAGCTATATTTCATGATTTGTTTTTCTAACTCCCATAATATCACTAGCGTTACACTGACAATGTTGATGTATTTATCAACACATTATTTTTGTATTTCTCTTAATCTGGGATTTCCAAGGATTTTATCAATGTATTGTTGTGTTCCTTTTTTATCATTTCAAGCGCTCCTACTATGACTGGTAGTATTCTTGTTTTCAATTAACACATTTTTTTCTATTACGATTTTCAGGTTTTATGCATCGATAGTTTTTCAAAATCTTTGGTTGCTATCTTACAGTTCGCTGGGCAAGCCATATCAATTAGTAGGCAAGTTTTTCTTTTCATCTTTTAACAATTATGTCCGGCCTATGTGTTTCAATCTTCTTGTCTGTAAAGATGGTGTAATCCTATAGAATTGTGATGTCTTCTATTTCTATAACCGGTGCTAGGTGATGTTCATACCATTGTTTATTAACCTCTTTTCCAAAGTGTTTGCACATTGTCCAGTGTAAATTTTGTCCCACTCTATCATGACGATTTTTATATTATTTGGCGTAAGTACAGATCATCCTGAGATTAGATGGTCTATGGTTTCCTGATATTTGTCACAGAACCTACATTTTGGATCCACGCTATTATGTATGATATTTGCCTGAAAATTTCTGGTCTTGCGCTGCAAGAACAAAGCCTTCCATTTCAGCCTTTAAACCAGATGCTCGTAACCATAGATGGGTGCTAACTTTATCAATATCGGCTTTATTAGCCTCGTTCTGGATATTGGCCATGCAAAGGTTTGTCTTGCCAGCGTTGTTTCATCCGTTCAAGAGCTTTATCCTTAGATTTCTTTTTCATATTTTTTGCTGCAACGATTGGTTCTTTGGTTTTCTATAGAATATACTAAATTATTATTATTATTATTATTATTATTATTATTATTATTATAATCGTGACAATATTGTTTCGACCATATAATAATAATAATAATAATAATTTAATATTATTGATTCTAATCGTGACAATATTGTTTCGACCATATTATTATTATTATTATTATTATTATTGTTATTATTCTTATTCTTATTATTATTATTATTATTGATTTTAACAAAGTGACACTGGGTATAAATATACAAAACTCAATATACCGATCATTATACACAATTTGATAAGGGTATAACAAGCATATGAATCACAGCCAAATGTGAACAATATTTAATTCTAATTTAAAATTTACAAATTACCCCATAGCTGATGGAAATGTGGTGGACTCATACATTTCCGAAGGGTATTTGTTCAAAAAGGAATATAACGAACCAGGCTTTGAACTGGGCTCTCCGATTTCAAATATCGAGCTGTTATCCATTACACCACCCGCACTTCCAAGGTTAAAGCACCTGGTATTCCCAATACCCATCTAGATAGTGACTAGGGTCGATGTTGCTTAACTGCAGTGATTGTACGAGAACCGGTCTTTCAACTCTCCTATTGAAGCATGTGTAGATTCAGATGTAATTTTAGTCCAACAGCAGGCGAATACGCAATTACTAAACTTAGTTACATAAACACGCATTTCCATTTTAAACACCTCACAAGGTCAAACAAGCGTGTTTCGTCTTTATTGGTCTCATATAGTTCCGGTTAGACAACCAATCAAACGAAGTCTCCGGTCTGACGTATGTTCCGCCAGAGAACCAATCAGAGGAGAGATGCAACATTTGAATTGATCGATACAGCTGAGTAAATAGTAAAAAGTAACTGCTGAAGCCAAGGTGACGCATCTGGTCTATCCTGGTCAGTCAGCTTCTTCCCACTCCTCATAGCTTATTTGTGTTACTTATTTATTTATTTATTTCCAACCTCTTTTTTGTCCCTTTGATTTCTCACTCAAACGTCATCTAAATTTGGTTTATCTATTTCTCCTTTTCATTTGAAAGAAAGTAATTATTTTTGTTTTCTTTCTTTCCTTTTTCTATAATTTGGTTCTTTCAGATAACATCTTTGACTGACTTTTTCTCATGTTCAGCCTTTTCACATTTCTATCAAACTGATGTATTCATACGCGTATCCATTCTTTCAACCAGTCTATTCGGTTGCACTGTGCTTTGCGACAAATATATAAACTTCCAGTCAGAGTCACAGACTGCGTAGTTGTTCTCCTTAATTCGGACAGCTCTAAAAGAACATCAATTTTTAATTTAGTAGCACTGGCCTTCCATAGTGCAGCACGATAGCTTGATAGCTCAATATGACAACACGAAGTATTGCTTTCAATGAAAACAATACCCTTGACAATAATGGAAACTACATATTCTAATTAAGATAAAATTATTTAAAATATAGTATTTTGCTTTTCTCTGTGCCATTAGATACGAAACAGAGGAATGAGAGTAGAGTAATCTCGTGATCACGAGATCAGTACAAGATATTGCGTACATCCGGGTCCTAACCTGTATTTGGGTGTTTGCTCACCAACCGACATTAAAAAATTAGCAACTCATTCACGTGCCTTTTTACTAATTCCTTTCGGGTTTTTTTTTTATTCATGAAGCCATATAATCCAGATTAATAATATATACCATTCCATATATAAATGGAGTCAAAATGTTTACCGTCTTTAATGAAGACGACCCAAGCTACATTTTTATTTTCGAAAATTTACTGAGTTTATGGTAAAACGTTAAAAATTTGCCACGTTTATCTAAATAATAATACAGATATTGACAGACCGTAAGCTTTTATAGCGAGTTCGATCCTTACAGATGCTATACCATTCTCGTAAGAGACGAATATATTCTTGTCCTTGTGTTATAAAAAGTTACGTTATGGAGAAGCGCCAATGGGTCTTAGTAATATCTCTCGGAAACTTTGGAATAAACAAACAGAATCAAGGTTCTAAACAAATAATATGTTTATTTCGCCTCAACTGGAGCGTAGTCCTGCGCATGACGATAAACTACACCCGGCAGCAAGGCCTCTGATCAGGAGATTAGAGGTTTTCAGGAGCGTGGGATCACCTCTTAATTTCTATTGTTCTCACATCGACCCAGAGTTGTAGCACCTGTTAGGGCACCAGCTATGGGTATATAGTGAAAAATCTAAGCAAAAATCAAAACACTAGAAAAGTATAAAATACATTTTTATACTAAAAAATACCAGCAATACATTTATATAAAATATTACCAACAATATATATTTATAGTAAAATTATCAATAATACATTTTATGTGTTGCTGAAGGCATACAATTACGTTCAAAATACTTAGATTTTGGCATTAAATAACCCATAGAGATGTTGATATGCCACTAAACAAAATCAACCAACCAAATCGATTGGAGCGAGTCCTTTGTAATTAGAGCTGGCGAAAGATTGTTCGGCAGTGGTTTTGAAGTTATATTCAGTTTTTTTTTCTTTCTTTTTTCCTCTATTTATTTGAGGGTTGCCTTCTCATTAGTTGAGAGAGAAGTATAGAGAGAAAAGGATAGAAAGAGAGAGAGAGAAAAAAAAGATATAAGCATTTTAAAGGAAAGCAAATGCCTTATTTTAATTTGAATTCTTTTTTATATATATATATATATATTATTTTTATTTTTTTTATTTTTTTACTTTTTTTACACCTGGGTTCACCACAAAGTAAATAAGTTCGATGTACCGTGGAGCAAAAAAATTAAAAAAATAACCAAAAAAAAAAAAAAAAACAAGTTAGTCATCGAATTGATTACTACTATTATAGTATTATGTCAACCTCCATTTCGCACCAAACCAAAGAAGTCATGTACAAGCTTAGATGACCGCATTTGGACATAAAGTTCCGCGATTCTGCCGTTGTCAGTGGTGACACCGAGAAGAAAACATCTGTTGGTCTGATTGTGCCTGATATGTGTGCACGTGAGAATAAAAAAAATCGTTGGTCAGAGGGATATATAAACAACCAGGTTGAGCAGTCTTTCACACATCACAGATGTGAATGTAGGGACCAGATATTGAACAAGGGCTCTGTTGGGTCGCATCATAAACTGACCGAGAATAACTAACAACGTATTGGAGACATATTTAAACTTCGTGTTATTCATTAGTTAGCAGTAATAGGTTCGGTCCTTAATATTGGCTTTCTCCCAAACAAAGCTTTGTAAATAAGGCAGACTTACCGTGGAGAGCAAATTCATCTCACAGACTATTACGACGATAGTAGGTTCGATTCTCAGAGTCTGTTCCATACTTATGGCCTTGTAACTTACTAGGTGAAGTAAATAAATGTGTTTTGCTGTGGATTAATGAACAAAAAGATAGTTTCTTAGGCTATTGATATTTTGTTAAATTCGATCCTCACTGTGTGCTTTATATTAGTGGGATTGTACCAGACTAATCTTAGTCAATAAAGGATTCATGCCTTTCCCAAGGATATTTGTGCTTAAGTGAATATAACGAATCCTACCAGAATTGGAACTCGGCTCTCCGATTAACAATTCGGAGCCATTATCCATTACACCACCCGCACACCCAAACGGTCACCCATTTAAGTACTGGTCAACCTCGACGTTGCTTAACTTTGGTGAGCGTAAGGGGAACCGGTGTTTCAACATTGTATGGCTGTAGATAGATAGATAGATAGATAGATAGATAGATAGATAGATAGATAGAAATGAATAGGCCAAGATAGATAGATACATATGTGTAGACAAAATGGATAGATACTAAAACACAGACAATTTGATAGATAGATAGATAGATAGATATAAACAAAATGGATAGATACTAAAAGACAGATAGATAGATAGATAGATAGATAGATAGATAGATAGATAGTCAGAAAACTGTCAAATCTATGTGGAAAGATTAAATTGATATATAGGTAGATTGGCATTCAAATAGATATAAATTTCTCATAGGTGTCACGTAACCTGGTAAAAGACAGGATTTCGAAAACTGATTCTTAAAGTAAATATGCCGCTTCTATTTCTAAGACTGGCACATCAGACTCTTCCGATCACTGTCTGGAATTAACATGAGTTCTCGGAGACTTTCAAAGCAGAAACCTCATTAAGAAATCAACCGCCCATCATGACCGGAGTCTGTTCAGTGATGTGGGAACGTTACTAGTATGGTATTGAATTTTGATTGATTAAATCAGCCACCTGACTAACTAAACCCAGTAAATTTTGATTAGGTCTAATTTTAACCTTGATTATAGAATGTCAAGAACCTATATTAACGTGTAAACTAATAAAATAATTGTCTATTCAGGTATATGAAGTATTTGGGGAAATGTTTTAACAAAGGTCGGAAAGAGTGACACCGAAATCCGAAGAAGCATTGAGATAGCGAAAAATGCTTTCTAAAAGCTAAGCAAAGCATTAAGAAACGGGAAAATTTCATCAGAGACAAGTATAAGAGTACTGAATGGTAATGTAATACCAGTCCTCTTATATGGCAATGAATGTCGGATAATCTCCACAGAGATTAAGAAAAGACATGAAGCAACAGAAATGTAGTTCTACAGAAAGATGCTGAGAATATCAAGAAAGGAATACTTGAGCAACGACAATGTTTTAAAGAAAATGGAAACAAAAAGGACAGATATACTTAACATTAGTAAAAACTGTTGAATATTTTAAGGCATATAATGAGGAAAGGGGGCTTAGCAAATCTGACATTCGTAAGACATATTGAAGGTTCGAGGGTCAGAAGAAAACAGCGCGTAATTTACCTGACGAGCTTGTGTAAATGTTTGGCAGAACATAGATTAGGAGAGATGGTAAAAAGACAAAATTTACTAAGAGTTACGAAGGACAGGAAATTGTGGAGAAACATGATCGCCGACGTGCTGAAGGAACATATATAAAAGCAGATTTTGGACTTTTTTTTTATAAATAACATTCATGATGCACTTTGTTGGCATAATAGAACAGAACACTAACCTAAAAGTTATTAGTATTTTCTTTTATAATTTAATGATAATCTTCCTTATTATAAAACGCAGATTGTGTGTGTGTGTGTGTGTCTGTACGTTTATATATTGGATCGGATTTCCTACATTTTTCAACCGATTTCAACAAAAGTTCACAGGACTGCGTAAAATTACCTTGTGGTGGTTCTGACAGCACCCAAAATTGGAAAAACACAATTGTTTTTGCACGAAATCAATTTGAAAACACGATTCTGTCGCCAGAATGAATGGGGGACAACTCATATCGAGTTATACTTATTATAAAACCCAGGTTGTTTGTGTGTGTGTGTGTTCGTTTATATATGGGATCGGATTTCCTACATTTTTAAACCGATTTCAACAAAACTTCACTTTTTTTGGCAGGTAGTGTTTCTTATTGTCTTGCACACTTTTTTCTTTCTTTTTACATTCAGAATTCTTTAAAAATTCCATTTACAAGACAATTGTTTATAATAAAATTCTATTCAATCGATAGACTCTTAACGATTGAAAACAATTTTGTTTGAGTTTGGGTTTGAGCAGTCCGTAAAAAAAAAAAAAAAAAAAAAGAACTAATTAAGACATGCGTGTCCGTCAACCTTAAACAATAATTTTTGTCAATTTTATTTTTCAGTCTTTATGATGGTCGATACTTGATCTATCTCTTACTGTTACTGTCTCCGGGCAACGCCGGGCTCTGCTGCTAGTATTTTAATATTTATATTTTATTGCCGTATATACTCACGTATTATGCGACTCTTGAAGACTTAATTCTGAAGCTAATTTTAAGGGGGTCGCATCATACATGAGATATAAAACTAGCGTATATACTGCTGGCTCTGGCTACGTCATTGACCAAACTATAATTATTTACCCACTGCCCCACGCAGCAAGATGTGGCACAAGGCCGAGTTTAAAGTGGGCTATCCGAGCCCGTAGGCTCGGTCAAAAATATTTTTTTCACTCGGGCCGCTGGTCTAAGCTGGTCTTAGCTGTATATAATATATATATTGTCCAAGCTGGTCAGAAAAACAGGGTTTACATTCTTATTTCTCAACGTGGCATTTGTCTTATTATCTTGCGAGCATACAGCACAGCCTTCTTAAGTTTGGTACACACTGACAAGATTGAGAATTGGAATCCAATGTGGGGTAGTCATTGGGTGGAAAGCTTGGGTGTGGGTAGTGGTGTACGTTTATATTGAATTCATTAGCTTGAATGAACAAATTTGTAAAAATTGATCTAAAACTTCCTGTTGTAACCGGGGAACTAAGAAAACGGAAGTACCGAGCCGGCTATATTGTGTATGTGCGAATAAAAAGCCAGAGTATCCCATCTGCAGACAGAAGTCACAAGACGTCGTTGTTGTTATTACAGACCCCTTTAAACGAGTTGTGACATATATATATATATATATATATATATATATATATATATATATTAACATATATTGTATATTCTGAATATTTTACCAACATTGATTGGTTTTATTATGAATACAGTCACTACTCGCTTAACGACCAATCATGCAAGGTTGGGTAATCCTACAATATCTTTATTGTTACTTTTAAATAGTACACGATTATTTCTATATTACATATAGTACAATCTAATACAAAATTACATTATAATAAACACATACGTCCATTCATATTGATAGCATGAAATCCTGAATCCGTCATAAGATGTTATGCAAATCTGGCACTACCTACATTTTCTGCCCCCTCCCCATAAAATATACGGGAGATGTTTTAAACAATTTTTGTACATTTGCATTTGTTGCGGTAATCACCCACTTTGTTGCTTGTTGTGGACGTTTTTTTCGTCAACATTTAATGGTCCCTGGTGCATTTATCCCACAAATAATATTTGGCGGCCTCATGTGAATCTGGGTAAAAATAAGAAAAAAATGTGTATTTTGAACAAACGAAAATTAATGCATGTATTAACAAAGGAAAATGACATTAATGTGTACACAGTTGAAATGGAAAACGGCTAGACATTAGAAACTTAGCTATTTAAAAATTGTGCGTGTCTAGTGTGTGTGTGTCTTTGTGTGTATGTCTTTGTGTGTGTGAGTCTGTGTGTGTGTATGTGAGTCTGCGTGTGTGTGTGTGTGTGTGTGTGTGTGAGTCTGTGTGTGTGTGTGTGTGAGTCTGTGTGTGTGTGAGAGTCTGTGTGTGTTTGTGTGTGTGTGTGTGTGTGTGAGAGTCTGTGCGTGTGTGTGTGAGAGTCTGTGTGTGTTTGTGTGTGTGTGTGAGTCTGTGCGTGTGTGTGTGTGAGTCTGTGTGTGTGTGTGTGTGTGTGAGAGTCTGTCTGTGTGTGAGTCTGTGTGTGTGTGTGTGTGTGTGTGTGTGTGTGTGTGTGTGTGTGTGTGTGTGTAAGAGTTCAATAGTCAATAGACCGGGCAAAGAAACTTTACCCAGCTGGGACGCCTTCATCTACACCTGCTACATATTGGAACACGGTGTTTACTCATTCCCCCACGAGAATGAGATGTGACACAAGGTCGGATTAATGTGGGGAACCGAGCGCGTACACTCGGGCAGGGACAAAAATTCCCCTAAGCCCCCGCAACCGTCGGTTGCGCTGGCCTTGCTGCGAGCACCGATCCCTCCCTCCCTCTTGTGCAATGGGAGGGCGCGGCCTCGAGCAGCTATTCCCCTGGGCTGGGCACTTCTTCAGTTAATTTTCCTCAGTTGCCCCTCTGTCGTTTGAGAGAGAAGCCCCTGAGCGCACCCTGTCCAAGGACAGAGACGCAACTGAGATAATAAATGATAAATAACGCTAGTACATATTAGAACACGAGGAAGACAGTAGATATGTTTGTCTTTTTATAGAACTTAAACAGCGCTACCTAACGGGCTTTTTAGCGAAGCCAAGTGTGGTAAGCCACACATTCATTAAACCTACCTCAAGCCACTACATTTGTAAGAATAATATTTAGTTTTAGAATGGGTGCTGTTCATAATATAAATAGTGTCAAATCGATCTCTGACTTTTTAAAGATATATCTGTACGTTATTTTTATTTAAACATGGCAAGAAAATATGCTTACGTTAATGATAACCGCATACAACCGATGCTGTCTCTTTTCTCAATTCGTAAGATTACGCACTTAATGTAAGTTTGTGGAGGGATGGTCTCTGTCCGACTATCTTGCTCTAAACACAGCTCCTGCTGCTACAGTTGTAGTGTATTTGGTGAATTTTCTTCTCTTCAGGACGTAGGCGATCACAGCTCTCCACAATTTCCAGTTCTTTCGTAGCTCTTAATAAATTTTGTCTTATTGTTATTTCTCCTAAATCTTGTTCCGCCATCCATTTACTCAAACTCATTCTTCTTTTTCTATGTACCGTGTCTCTTTAGGACGTAGGCGATCGTGGCTCTCCACAATTTCCAATCCTTTGTAGCTCTTAATAAATGTTGTCTTTTTGTTTTTTTTCCTAAACCTTGTTCCGTCATCCATTTACTCAACCTCATCCTTCATTTTTTTATGTACCGTGTCTCGTCAGGACGTAAGCGATCATGGCTCTCCACAATTTCCAGTCCTTCGAAGCTCTTAATAAATTTTGTCTTATTGCTATTTCTCCTAAACCTTGTTCCGCCATCCATTTACTCAAGTTCATTAATTATATTATGCGTTGTTTTACTCTATCCCTCTCGCCA